ATTTAAAAAATTTTTCCTTATCCATTGGCCTTTCCCATATTCAACATGCACCTCATAGACAGCAAAAACAAGGACTTCTTTTTTGTGGGGCCCTGACACTTGATAAAGGCAATGAACAGGTGGATGCTGCTGCACGGTCTGTGGTGCATGATTATCTGGTTTCCTATAGAGATATTCCATTCAGGGATTATTTTACTGTTATCTCTACCCTTTTCATATTTTTTGTCAGCAACGGTAGCCGGACTTGCACAATAACAAATTGCACTCTATTAAACCACTTTTGGGTTTGTGGCCATCTTCTTACTACTGTTGCCATACTCAGGAGACTGTGCTCTCCCATCTCCGCATCGGCCATACACTCATTACCTATGGGTATCTCATGGAAGGATACCCTATCCCTCTCTGTGAGGCTTGTCAGGCCTCTATTTCGGTTCTTCCCTTTCTCGTTGAATTCTCGGTTTACCAGCGAGCTCGCAGGATTTATCTCCAATAACACCACTGCCTTATCACTCTTGCGTTATCTTGCCTTCTTACAGATGGCATTGCCTTTGACTTACTATTACGATTTTACTTTTTGTCAGCAACTGCTTTACTATATGAACTTTGACAAATAACCCTTAGCATCCCTTCCAGCCCTTTTCTCACCTCACCTCTGATCTCCTCTCCACCTAGCTGTTTAAATATCTCCGGTACTATTTTCTGCCCCACAGCACAGCATGACTCTTGTCAGTTTAGTGGTTTGATTATTTATTTATTTTATTTATTTTTTATTAATTTGAACATGATACAGAGAAGTACAGAGAAAAACAGTAGTTATAGTGCAACATGCCAAAGCCCGTTGTATGCAGAGCATTATGGGCAGGCTTAAAATTAACTTAAGATAAACTAAGCAATGATATATTCAGTGGTAAAACATTATTGTAAACAGATAACAATTAAGCACGAAAGAGTTTTACAAAGACAGGTCATGTGGTCATTTACTGTGTTGCTGTGCATTCAGTAGAATGAAGTATTCTGTTAGGTAATGTAATTAAAAAATAACAAAGTTTGATTGGGTCACAGGTTAAACATTTATGAGATAAAATTATGAGAAACATTTGTGAGATACAATTTATGGGGATACAATTATTCAGTATTTATTTAGTTGTAGGTGAGTAAGTGATTTTTTTAGAAGAGACTTGAATTTATAAAAAAGGCAGTGTTTCTTTTATTCACAGGTAATGAATTCCAGATTTTAGGGCCTTTTATGTGCATTGAGTTTTTGCATAGCGTGAGATAGACTGAGGAACTTCAAAGAGTGATCTGTGTCTTGTGTTATGGTCATGTGTTGTTGAGGTTGGTAAGGAGATGTTTATGTATGTAGTAGGTGCAGTAATAAGTATGGATGTTTTGTATGGTGAGTAGGTTTAGAGTTTTGAATATTGGTGGAGTGTGCTGCCTGTAGTGGGAATTTGTTACATTGTGCTGCAGCTTTTGTTGGGTAATTAGTGGTCTGAGATGGTTTATTGTTGTTTGAGCCCCATGCACAAATTCCATGGTGAGATAGGGGTAAATAAGTGAGTCATATAGGGCCAGGAGGGCTGACTGTGGAACATAGTACTATATCTTCGATAGTATGCCTATGGTCTTGGAAATTTTCTGGGAAATTTGTTGTGTATGTGTTTGAAATTTGAGTCCATTATCAAAGTGGATTCCTAAGAATTTTCCCTCTTTGAGCTTTGTGATAGGTGATCCATTTATCATTATGTTAAGAGGGACATCTGTAGCTCTGTTACCAAACAGAATGAAGTAGGTTTTGTCAATGTTTTGAGAAAGTTTGTTAGTCCTCATCCAGGTAGATATTTTCTGTAATTCAGTATTCACAGTATTGACTAGCATGACTGGGCTCGGGTGAGAGAAGACATATGTAGTGTCATCTGCAAATAGAGTGGGTTTGAGTAGTTGTGATGCATTTGGTAGGTCATTTATGTATATGAGAAAGAGTAGAGGGCCAAGGGCACTTCCCTGTGGGACACCAACTGTGCAGAAGAGTTTGCCCCATCTGTGTACACATACTGGATTCTGTTGCTGAGGTATAACTTTAGGTAGTTGAGGGAGTGCCCTCTTATACCATAGTGCGACAATTTTATGTGGAACAAGTCATGGTCAACTGTATCAAAAGCTTTATGTAAGTCAGTGAAGATCCCTAGTGGGACTTCTTTTTTCTCTATTGCATTGTATATTTGTTCTAGCATGTGTATAATAGCATCATTAGTATTTTTATTAGGCCTTAACCCAAATTGACAGGGGTTGAGTATGTTGTGGGAGATGAGATAGGAATAGATTCGCTTATGAATTAATTTTTCTAAGATTTTAGAGAGAGGGTGTAAGTTGGATATTGGCCTATAGTTATTCAAGTCAGTTTGGTCACCTCCTTTATGGATCGGGGTGACCCTTACTATTTTGAGAACTGTAGGGAAGGTAGAGGATTTGATGGATTTGTTAAGAGTGTTGCAATGATTGGTGATAGCACTTGTGATGCTTTTTTGTATATAAAGGGTTGTAAGGTATTTAAATCTCCTCTCTCTTGTCTTGTTCCAGTCGACCAAACTCATAGCAGTTTCACTAGAACTCCTTTTCTTCCACCCAATAAAGTGATCAGAAGTTGGTAATTTGGCCAGTTTCATACAGAATTGAAGAAAGACCAATTTCAAAATAGGTTCCAGAATAAAAAATGCAATCATACCTAGTACTAAAATAACATTGTTTCTTTTCATTAGTCATGTTCCAGGCCCCTTTATATTACGCTTGCTTTCCATATTGAAAATTTACTGTTATGCGGACTACTGCATTAGTGTAAAAATGATATAAATAATATCAGTCCATATGGGAAGCATATAAACCCACCAGTTGACGTGCTTGGATGACTGACAGAATTTGTTTACCCTCCTGAACATCGTCAAAAAATCAAACATTTGTACTAATTTGAGTTCACTTCAGCTACTTTTTTGTTTGTTACCCATTAAAAAATCTCTATTTCTGTTAATATGTCTTCATTCTGTCAATGACAACCAAGAAAACGAGAATACAACCCATAAATACCATACAAAATTACAACCACAAATAATGCGTTTTAAACAAAAACACAGTCCCAGTTTTTTCTCAGCACTGATGCTGCAGATTTTTTTATATGCTATATATACTGAACCACTCAACCCAATCTCTCATATGTAGGCCTACCAGCTATCTCCTGCAAGACTGAAAGCTACTAGAATTTTTTGCATACTACTACTGGATAGACATTGGCTTCTAAGCAGTAAAATATGGGACTGACAGTGAATGTGTTTTAAAAATGACAATTTTATTTAGTGAAATAGTGATAATAGGAAAAAAAATATTTTCTTGTTGAGTATATTTTTTGGTAATTGTGGAATATTGTACTATACTGACTTCATGTTTCTATTGCAAAAGTATTTTGTGGAAGATTAACAAGTTCTGTCCTGCCAGAGCATATATCTTCAGTACTACAAGAAAGGCAACATCTTGTTATCCTTGTGAATTTTTAAACTACCTAAGTACTTTTTTTTATTTAACACCAGCTGATTCCCACCACGGCAGAGTGGCCCAAGAAAGAAAAACTTCACCATCATTCACTCCCTCACTTGTCTTTCCAGAAGGATGCTTTACAACACATTGATAAAACTGCAACATTAACACCTCACCTTCTGATATTGGGAATTCCTATCAAATAGCATGGTAGTTAAAGAAAAATACATGCTAGTAATACTGTAATTAATAATTTTCAGAAAATATCTGTATAAAAACAAGATAAAATAATAAAATAAAAGTGATGTTTGAGTGTATCTGCAGTGTTCCACTACATATATTACTCTTTTAACACACAAAACAAAAATTATGATAGTGTTTTAATGCACAATATAAAATTTATTAGTGCTTATAAAGTGGGAAAAGTTTTGCTTAAAAAAATCTTAGCATGGAATATGTTCATAAGGAAAACTGTGTTTTCAGTCTCCAAAATAAGTTGACCAAACATCTTGAAATTAGACATTGAGTACATAAGGAAGATTAATTATACCATGATTGTATGACTAAAATTATTTTAAAAAAATACCAATGTTTAAAAAATATGGAAAAACATAAAGAACTTAAACCATATCAGTGTTCACAGTGTCTGAAACGTTTTAGTGTGAAATATATACTTGTGAGACATATGAGAGTACATACAGGAGATAAACCATATCAATGTTCAGAGTGTCTGAAATGTTTTAATCAAAAAGGCAGTCTTGTGAGACATATGAGAGTACATACAGCAGATAAACCATATCAATGTTCAGAGTGTCTGAAATGTTTTAGTATAAAAGGCAATCTTGTGACACATATGAAAGTACATACAGGAGATAAGCCATATCAATGTTCGGAGTGTCTGAAATGTTTTAATCAAAAAGGCAGTCTTATGAGTCACATGAAAGTACATACAGGAGATAAACCATATCAATGTTCTGAGTGTATGAAATGTTTTAGTCAAAAAAGCAATCTTGTGAGACATTTTAAAGTACATACAGGAGATAAACCATATCAATGTTCTGAGTGTATGAAATGTTTTAGTCAAAAAAGCAATCTTGTGACACATTTTAAAGTACATGCAGGAGATAAACCATATCAGTGTTCAGAGTGTCTGAAATGTTTTAATAAGAAAAGCTGTCTTGTGAGACATATGAGAGTACATACAGTAGATAAACCATATCAGTGTTCTGAGTGTATGAAATGTTTTAGTCAAAAAGGCCATATTGCGAGACATATGAAAGTACATGCAGGAGATAAAACATGTTAGTGTTGAATGTTAAAGTAATATTTTAGTTATAAACTCATCAGAATATATAAAATGAATGTACCATAACAGTGTTGAGAGTGAAATATGTTATTAATAATAATATCTTTATTTACTACAAGCACACGTACAAGGTATACAGGCCTAGTTGGCATCAATGACATTCTACTATATAGAAAGCCCCTTGTTATGCTGAGCATTTCCCACAAATTAGGTCCTTGGCCCAGGATGCAACCCACACCAGTCCACTAACTCCTACGTACCCATCTTACTGATGGGTGAACATAGACAACCGGTGTAAAGAAACACCCCCAATGTTTCTACCCACACCCTCTTCAAGGGGGGCTCCTTGACATGGTGAAGAGGCTTTTGGTCTGAGGAATTAAACCTGTTGGTCTCCTTCCTCAAACCAAACCTAATTATCCCCCAAACCCCTCTTCCCTATCCCATTATCCCCATTCTCCCTTTTCTTTTCCTCCTCCTCCTCTCCTCCCTCCTCCCCACCTTCCATAATCTCCCATATTCCCTTCTCCGTGCCCTCCACATTCTAGTGATCCTCAGTTCCTTCCAGCAGAAATTTCCACTCATTTATAAACGTTCTCCCGTCTTGGGCTACCCTTTCCCATTTCATAGACTCTGCCCTCTCACGTGCTAAACTCAATTTCTTCTCTCCCCAAACTCTCTAACTCTGGGAACTCTTCTATCCTCTGCCTTCCCTACTTTCCGGTCCTTTCTAATTCTCAACAATTCTCTCCGTCCCTTAGACATCAAGCTTATACCTTCCGCCAGACTAACACTCTTTCTTCGCACTAATCTCGTTCATACCTCCCTCCCTCTACATATGTTCCTAGTGTCCTACTCATTTCTTGCTCCTCCTGTCCCTCTTCAATACTTTGGAGAAACTGTCGATCTCTTTCTGACAGACTTAGGGAAGCAACAAAAATAAGTGTTAGGCTTGCCGACACTACAATGCTCTTTTCTGTCACGTCAGAGATCAAGCATCCTATTGACTGGTCTTCTGCAAAAACTGTCTTTCCCTACTTTCCAACTCGAAACAGTCGCCGTTAGTTGAATATTCTCTTATACCAACTTACTGTATGAACCTTAGCCCTGGCTTCGTCTCTGTAGATGCCTATCCCTCCTCCACTACATGTAAAATGCTCCAAACTTCAGACACCCGTGACTTAACCTGAATCCTCATTTGTTCTCTTCTTCTCGTGTACCTTCTTCTCTTCCCCTTATCCTCTCTCCTTTTCTCCTCTGGGTTGTCTTTCCCTCATCCTGTCTCCGTGTTTTTCTGTTCCTTCTTTATTTTAAATTTCACCACTTCCCCTTTCACGCAACCTTCGGTGCGCTTGCCTCTCCCCTCTGTGGGTTTTCTAGCTCTCCTTCTTGCAGTGGCTCACCCTTCCTTTTATTTGACTGGCTCTGTTTCCTTATTCTTCCCACTTCAACACTATAACGCACTACTACTACTCTTCTTCTCTACTACAACTACTGATGAGAAATAGACACATGTGCGGCATCTGGTTGTCTTTGTTGTGGACATTCGTCGCCATCCAGTGGCCTGGTGCTGGATGGCGAAACATCTAGGTGGGGATGCCCGGGTGTGTGCTGTGTCATTTCATCCTGACGGTATTATATACAAATTCTTTACACTACTACTACTACTACTACGCACTACTACACCTCCACTCTTCCTGCCTATATAAGCCGTCCTGCCTCCTCCTCTGTTCTAGTGTGACTTTGTCAATGGTCCAAGTCGGACGAAACGTCGATTCGTAAGCCTTCAGTCTTTTATGTGCGGTTAGTTTGTGTATATAATATACTACCAATTCAGAGTCATGTACCTTTAAATCTGTTATATCTATGTGACTCTGAGATGGGTTTAGTATTATACCCACCTTCAGAGAATATTTTTATTATTCCACATACACTTTTTAAATTGCACCAAAGTTGTTGGGACACCTTACCTTTTATATCTACCTCACTACCACCTCCACCCTTATTCAATATTTCTACCTTACTGACCATCTTCCTTCCTTACCCATCTTTATCTTAAACAAGACTCTGGTCTGAATGCGAAATACAGGACTGAATAAGGTTGTCTTCAGTTCGCCTCGCAGGACAACACAAGTACTCTCACAGCTTATATTCTAATACGTCAATAGATCCTCTGGAGGCACTGTCCTTCAGACAACACTGCACTAGCACCCCAGCACTGTCCTCCAAGGACACACTAGCACCCTCAGGAGCACGACCGCTGCAGGACAAAACAGCACCCTCAGCACGTCCTCCAGACAGCACTAAGCACCCTCACATTATCCTCCAGGACACCACTAGCACCCTTCAGGCACTGTCCTCCAGGAAACACTGAGCCACCCTCAGGAGCACTGTCCTCCAGGACAACCACTAGCACCCTCAGCACTGTCCCTCCAGAACAGCAGCACTAGCACCCCTCAGCACGTCCTCCAGAACAGCACTAGCACCCTCGGAGCACTGTCCTCCAGACAGCACTAGCACCCTCTGCACTGTCCGTCCAGGACAGCACTAGCATCCTCAGACACTGTCCTCTCCAGGACAGCACTAGCACCTCAGGAGCCTACTGTTCCAAGTCAGCCCGTCACCCACCACCAATCTTTTTTCCCATCTGTCATACCATGCGGACATGTCTTCAAGAAGATGATTTATTGGTGTTCTTGTCATTTCCTCATAAACAGGTTTATCTCGTTGGGCAGACCCAAAAACAGCTCTCTGAGATTATGTCAAGTGTGTCACTATTAAAATCCTGCATATACAAGGGACGCACTGACCACGAGGGATGGCAAGCAATCCAGGCCTGTCCTTCCTCCCTTACCCTTTCAGCAGACTACACAGATCTTCATCGTAGTGGTCATCTTAAATACTGGGACAACTCTCCCTTAGCTAGCTAGTCTAATAATTCCATTTCCTTCCCCAATGCTTAATTTTTTTTTTTTTTAACAGTCTTCTGATTTGGCTTTATTTTTCCAAAGAAACCGTTTGAGTCCACCCGACTCCAGCTTATTTCTACAAAAAGCATTTGAATCCTCCTGAATCCATGAAATCCGTTTGAATCTCCTCCTGAATCCACGAACTGGAAAATCCAGTCACGCTATATCTTTTTTTCCTCTAATAAAATTTTTTACCTTAACAGTAGATCTGTCTATCTGTATTGCAACTATTTGTCATATTAAATTTTTGTACAGTTCTTCCAGTTTTGGCTTTATTTCCAATGAAAACCATTTTAATATCCGACTGAATCTGCATATTTTCCAACAGATACATTTGAGCCACCCAAGTCCAGCGAATCTGGAAGAAACCAGCTAGTGGATCACTGTATATCTTTTTCCTATAATTACCTTAACAGTAGATCTGTCTATCTGTAATGCAACTATTTGTCATATTAAATTTTTGTACAGTTCTTCCAGTTGGCTTTATTTCCAATGAAACCATTTAATCCGTCTGAATCTGGCTATATTATTTCCCAACAGACTCATTTGAATCACCCAAGTCCACAGCAATCTGGAAGAATCCAGCTAGTGGATCAATGTATATCTTTTTCCTAATAAAGCCCTTAATCAGTAGAATCTTCTATCTGTATTGTAACTATTTTTGTAGTTTGTGTTGAGTAGTTTGATAGGGCGTGTAGAGCCCCGTTCGTGAAACCAGTCAGAGGATACATTGTTATCAACGATCCGTTTGAATCTGGTCTGCTGGATGAATCCGGCAGATCTGGCATTAGTCTCACTGGTGATATTTGACTAGCTTATGAAAAGTACTACTGGAGAACAATTAAACAGAGTGATATATGTTCAGTTGATAAATAAAGTATAACTTACGTGTTGGGCACCAATGGCTTCAATATATGGAGATTACTGGGGGGGAGGGAAAAATTTTTAAAAATGGATTTCGTTGTGTATATAGCGACCGCTGCTTACTACAGGTTTACCAATACACTGTATACGTCACTCCATTACAATAAGTACTAACAACTATACACTGTTTTATCATATTTCTACAAAATCTGTAACACTTATCGTATGTCCTCTAGATTTGCACCCTCGTATTTCAACAGTAATGTTTTATCCCTGGAATCACTAATTATAAGGAGGGGTTACACTAGCAGACCCTGCGTGGGATTCTGACAACTGTTTATACAACGTCAACCTGTCTCTTTGGGCCTAAACACTTCAGTTTTGAATTTCCACCTTATCATTTATTATCCATATACTAGGTACTACGTGGAGTATACACTGAAAACACTGTGTAAACACTATTATCAAGGAGACTGTCTTTCCTCTGACAAAAAAAGTTATAATATTTCACTGACACTTAGGCCTAATTCCCCTCTACGGGCAAAGATTGTACAAGCTTTCAGTAATGGCGGACGGAACTCAGTCAGGTGATATTACACATGAAATATAAATGTAATATTGTAATCTTGTTCGATAAAGTAAATTATAAACCTTTTGTAACCCTTAATTAGTACAGGTGGTTGAGGGATAAAAAGGAAAGGTTGGGGTAGGATGCACCTGCGTGAAGTTGTATGTTGCTGTGTATTTCGGCAATGAGATTATTAATTCTGTGGAAAATAATCTGTTGTTATTTGCATATTTAATGTAATGTAATGTTTTTAATAAAATCATAAAAAAAACAACAATAATAGAGCCATACTAGACTGGAGAATACAGTAACCTCATCTCACTAACAATGATATCTGATAGAAATGTCACAATATCAAAAACAATATACTCAGATCATCAACATATTCGAGGTTCATAACATTATGCGCAGAAACCCCAGACCGACAAAATGAGATTAGTAATGAGGGGAGCCTTCACCAAATTCAACTTCATATAACAAAAACATAAAGTGTAGACCAAGTAAAAACCAAGTCATAAACGATATCAGCTGGAAGTAGACTACGCAACACAGACCCCAACTTATGCCTAGAACAGATTAACTCAGTGGGCACTCAATTATGCTCAGGCTTCCGC